GGATGAAATGGTTTCACAAAACTGCCCAGGGACCTCTACAAACATTGTAAAGGTGAGCACTGTTGAGCCAGGCTGTGGGTTCCATGGCCCTTCCTAATTTTGTGGGCAAGACTTCAAGGAGATTCATTAGCGTTTGCATTGTCCAGAGCCTCCAGGGTCTGCTTAGGCTGTAGTCGTGCTCAAGGCTGAAAATCAAGGTGATAGGGTCACCATCAACCTGTCCATATCTACACCCAGCTTTGGTCCCCATTTGCTTTATCTATTTGACACAGGACTGTAGGCATCCTGTCAGAGCCAAAATGTGCGTGCTGTGCAGGACTTGTAATGGGGGAGAAAGGCCTTGTTTTCCTTGAGTGCTCTATGGGAGAGATGAGCCAAAGGAAGGAGCTGTCTGCTTCGCCTGTGTTGTGAGACCACCCACCAGCACAAAATAGGAAGCAGAGGAAAGTAAACAGACCAGCTTCAGAGATGCACTCAGCAGCTCAATCTGTCCTCTGAACGTTTTGCAGTAAGACAGTGTCGGGATGCAACTAGGCGGAAGGAACTAATCAGCCAGCGCCAATGACAGCTTTGAAAAGGAGAGAAGAGGCATCCAGATGGCAGCAGGCCCTCACAGACGTGGCAGGGCAGGATACCCTGCCTCAGACGCAGAGGGCGAGAGGTTCAGACGGTCACACTGCTTCCCCATACATGGATTCCTTCTACCAATCACTGCTGCTGGGAGTCCTAGAGTGGGGAACTCTATGAGGATGATGACCTTGGTGGTGATGATGACAATGGTGGCGATGACAATTTGGGGATTAAGGAGGACAGTACATCTGGATGAGAGAAACCTTCTAAGTTTTGTTAGTGCAACCGATTACAGCTATTCCTTGATTTAAGAGGGGAACGCCTTTGTAAGTTAAAAATACCATGAGTCAAAAAACGCATTTAACACAACTAACCTCCCAGGCCTAGAGCTTAGCAACACAACACACTATAGTCAGATACCTCCTCTCAGGACTTCATGGCTGCCTGGGAGCTGTGCCTAGCCACCATGGCAGTAGAAAATTGGATTGCATATCCCTGGCTGAGAAGATACAAACTCAAAATTTAAAGTATGATCACTCCTGAACATGTGTCACTTCCCCAACATTTTCAAGTTGAAAAATCCTGAGTCAAACCACTAGTTGAGGCCATCCATATTTATTGAGAACCTACTCTCTCATGACTAGGGACATTATGGAGCCCAATCTTAATCATCCTGGCTACAAAGTGAAGACTTTTTAGAAACTCTCTGCCTTAGGGGTAGGTAAGACTTGACATTCACAGCAGAAGCTAACCTAGAAGAGGGTCCTGTGAAATCCACATAGGCAAGAAGGGAAGGAGGAGGGAGGACGGGGAGCAGGAGAGAGTGCCAGGTCCTCACAGTTAACTGAAATTTGACTAAGGTTCCCAAGTGTTAACACTCAGACCTGTATAGGTGCAGAGACTATTGAAGGGACAAGCCCACAAGTTCAGAGTTTCTGGTTTGAAGCTAATAGGAATGCTAATGGAGGTAATTAGAGACCAATTGATTACCCAGGGTGAATTGAGGCATGCTATGGGTTTGTATACATCAAAGCTAGAGAACTGTGTATCCTAGAGGCAGGGAGCAAGCTGGGAAATCCCTGGACTCTAGGGATAGGGCACTGAGGTACAGAACCTTGTGTGCCCAGCTCACATATGGAACAATCCATGGCAGATGGGAATTGGGGAAGCACAAGCAATCTTATCCTGAGGCTAAAGTCCAGCCAGAGCGAGAGTAGGAAAGATATTTTTCCTCTGTCTTCCTGATTACAATTCTCAGTTTTGACCTTTTGCTCTTCTTGGATGCTTCGTCATTCAACCAATATACTATCACTTTGTCTTCTGTCCTAGGAAATTCCCTGTCCTAATCTGCCTCAAGGACAGCAGCTTATTTCTTTTTTATATTCCCACCTGCTTTATTCCCTCCTCCTCCTTTGATACAAACACACAGGAAAGAGAAAGGACCTGAAAAATTCGAAAACTAAGGCAAGAGGAAGGGCAGAGTCAAGTAGCCACAGTCTTCCTCCTGCATTCTCTGTATATTAAAAACCTACACAGTCTTGATTCTTGGGGAACTTACTATCAAGGTTCAGGCTAAGAAACAAGCTGGATGAATCCAGATTGTTTTAGGTGGAGCAGTGTGGTAGTACACACCTACAATCCCAGTTACTTGGGAGCCTGAGGCAAGAGGACACAAGTTTGACATTAACCTGGGCAATTTAGCAAGACATTATCTCAAAATATATAAATAAAAAGGACTGGGGATATAGCTCAGTGATAGAACACCCCTAGGTTTGATCCCATGCACTGTGTCAACAATGAATGAATGAATGAATGAATGAATGAATGAATGAATGAGTTATAATTGCGAGTGACTCAATGAACAAATGAATAAATGAATGAATGAATGTGTTTGGATAGAGAATAGGAGATAAGGAATAATGAATTATTATAAGCTCTAAGAGAAAACATCAAAGCCAAGAACTGATCACAGCATTCCATGTTTTGATTAAAGTATCCTAAAGTTCATGTGTTGGAATTTTAATTTCTCGGTGTGGTCCCGTTGGGAGGTGGGGCCTAGTGGTTGGACTTGAGTCATGAGGGCAAGCAGACTCCTCTTGAACATGTTAGTGCCTTTCTGCAGCAATGGATTAGCTATTGTGGAAATTTAGAGACTCTCTCTCTCTCTCTCTTTCTGTCTCTCTCTCTCTCTCTCTCTCTCTCTCTCTCTCTCTCTCTCTCTCTCTCTCTCCTGATTATCTTTTTTCTTTCTTACATCGCTTGGTGCAGCTAAAATCCTTTTCCCGAATCTCAGAATCATCATGTTCTGGGGCCTTCTCAGCCTCCAAAATCATGCTCCAAAATACTCTATTTCTTAATAAATTATACATACTCTAGCATTCTGTTATATCAGCAGATAATGAAATAAGACACATGACACATACCTAAATTAAAAATGCTCAAGAAAAAAAATGCTCAAGAAAACTTTTCTTGATCACTGACCCACCCTTCCCCCAAGTATTTCCACCTTTGTCCACCTAAGCCCTGGTCTCATGTCACATGTGCTACTGTTGCTATTGTCCACTGTCACATACCTTTTGTCTCCAAATATGTCTAGACTCTCCTTCCCCAGGCTACTTATTTGCCAGCAGGGAAAGACAGGAGAGGCCTCCACACTTGTGCCTCCTGGCAGCTCTTTTCAGTGGGGTCCCTCCTGACTTCCTGCCATCCTAGCCCTGGAACAGTTGCCCACTCCAGGGAGAGACCCTAATCATCTCCCATGCTTGGGATACCAGCAAAACTGCCACTGGCTACAAGGGACAGTGCCACAAGGAAACAGCCTCAAGGGGCTGGGCCCCCATGGTGCCCACACAGAGTCAACTGTACTCAGCTCATTATGGCTGAGCCCCATGATGCTGCAGGCATTGTCTCCTGGGCCCTGAGGCCTGACCATACAAAGGTCTGTGGAGCTTATGCTGGTCAGGCAATCCATCTGCATGTTTGCCTCTCTCACTATTTTCTGTCCTCTGGTCATTCAAGGAGGCAGAAGTGGCTCTAAGTGGAACCCTGCCCTCCCAGCAGCTGCAATTCATAGCTCCTTGCCTTATATGACAAATTAAAGGCAAAGAACTCGTTTCAGTGCTCAGTGGACCACTGTCAATTAAATCTCCAGGGACACGACTTCTTTGGGGAGCCATTTGCAGGAGTGTTGCATTTCCCAGGATGAAAACAAAGTCTCCCCACTGGGGAGACTTCCTAAAGAAAGGGTGCTCTGGTCACTGGTGTTTTCTCATGTACCTCCCCACAGATGCTGGTACTAATGTAGAAACTCACCTTCCAGGAAACTGAATGCTGCCAGCCACATCCTTCCGGATACCCCCCACCAAACACACACACTTTCCCCACTGCACAAGCATGCACAGGTACTCCCAATCCCGATTCCCTGCCTGACACAGTTCACAAGACCATTGCCCACTAGAAACCCGAGAGCAGCTTCATTGACACTTCTCAGTGTGCCACCCTATCTAAGTCACACCTTGCCCATGCTCATTGGTGCCAGCTGTCTCTAAGGACAGTCCTGTGAGACCTGGAGAGCCTGGTACACTGGGCACTCAGTGCCTGCTTAAGACAGCTTGTAAGAAATAGGGGGGATCCAATGGTGAAAAGAACATCCCTCAAATGCTGCCAGTTTAGAGAAGGCAAGCCTGTGCATAGTGTGCTGAGAGGAGGGGAAAGTGGCCACAAGGGGTGAGGAAGACCAACAGGAGAGCTGATTCTTAGCATGTCCCAGGGCTGACACTACTTGCTCCTCTCCCATGGAAGCCAGAGAGAGGCTGTCCCACAGAGAAAAGGGAGCCGGATGCAACAGCAGGCCAGGAGGCTGAGTGGGTCCCCTGCATGTAGAGTCATGACTTTATGGGGTATGCAAAGCTTGGGGACCTACGAAATCAGGTGCAGAAGGTACCTCAGAAATGACCTCTTCCATCCATCCCAGGTACAAGTGGGAACAACCAATGTAGAGAGGACAGTACTAACAAAGCTCACACAGGTGGCAGGTGCAAGAGACGGGGCTGGCCTCAGTCTCTGGGCTCTACTGATCCCCTGCTGAACACAGAGATGTCATTGTGATTATCTTTTTAAAAAAAATTATTAAATACTGAGTTTGTTTCACATGTATCTTTGTCTCTCTACCATCTCCATGTCTGACCACCACTACTACTATGTCTAATCATAACATTCCATACATACTTAAAATCAAGTAAAGGGTGGAGTTCCATCTTTAAAAACTAAACAGTCATTTCAGACAACATATTCTTGGCAATAGGACCTGGACAACATTTATCAAACACGGTAGGAAAAGTTCTCACTTTGCATTACAAAAAGGATAGTCAGATAGCAACTGTTACAGAAATGAAGGATGATGGAAAACTTTACCAAACTAAACTGTTTTCTTAAAGAGACTTCCTCCACTGCCAGAGATCTTGCATAGCCTCCTCGTCAGTCATCTGGAAGCAATTCTTTGCATAATTGATAAATTTGGCTTCCACTTTGGGAAGAGAACTACCTTTTTCTGTGCTTGCTTGCATTTTTCCTTTAGTGTCTTCTACAGAACTAGGTCCTTTGGGTGTTTCCGAAGCCTTTACCTGTGTCTTGAAGGATTCCTGCCCTTTTGATCTTAGCGTTGACGGTTTTGAGTCTTTTCCATTCTGGTTTGATTTTTGTGCATTTTTGGCTGGAGTATTTCATATCAATTTCTTCACTGGAAATTTCTCTTCAGTTTCTTCATCATCAAAATCATCATCTTCATCCTTGTCCTCATCATCCTTCTTGTCTTCAACAGCAGCAAGTTTTACTTTTTTCTGAGGAACCTTGCTGCCACATCTGCATTGCTGGACAATAAAGCTTGCACAGGTGGCAGGTGCAAGAGTCAGGACTCCAGGGGCAGATCGCTTTCCAGATATACTTAGGAACTTTACATCTTCTTCCTCTTCCTCTTCTGACCCTGCATCTTCTTCCACAGCTACTAAATGCTGTCCACTAATATGCACAGGCCCTGAACCACACTTCAAACTCAAGACAACAGATGTGTAATTTCAAAGCCCCCAAGGGAAACCATTGGCTGTACAGACATTTTCAAAGTTTCTAGTGTTACTTTAATTGGACTGCCTTCATAATTCATAGCCCCTGCTTCAACAATGTGCAATTCATCCTTTGCACCAGCCCCTAAACTAACCGTTTTTAATGACAACTGGTGCTTATTTTCATCATTATCCTCTTTAAAGTGGTAATCTTTGTTGGCCTTTAGTTCACAACAGAAGAGATAGTTCTGGGGCCTCAGGGGGCTCTTGTCCACATCCACTGAATCTTCCATGGAATGGTGGCATGCACTTAGGTGGGCAAGAACATAGACAGAAGTGAATGAGTCCTGCTCCACAGAATAGATGCGCACGATGGAATCACTCCAGGGCCATTGTGATTGTCTTACCCCAATAAAATGTCTGTGGCAGAACCTCAAAGTATGACAGGTACATAGGCAGTCACCAGCTGCGTGTCCAAGCCCAGGACAGCGCGTGAGCTTCTCTCTTCTCCTTTGGATGCAGGATCCCACGTAGGACATATATTTACCCTGCAGGTCTCTCCAGAAAATCCCAGGTCCATGGCCAGCAAAGCCAACAAGGGTGTGACTATGATGCTCTGGAAGAGAAGCTCTGGCTACCTTAAATTAAAGGCATCTGTGCATTGGGCTCATCAGGTCTATGACTGATGATCATGACTGTTTCTTGACCTGCATGAAACACACCTAACAGATCTGTGAGGCACAAGTCTGAGTGTTTCTGGGGATGCAACCTTGGGGACTGTGTCTGGATCCCAGGCCTTACCTCTCTAGCTCTCTCCAACAGGCTATGCTTCCCAGCCACCATGCACAGAGCAGCTTTGCTCTGCTCTTGCCTTCCACCATGATATTTCTGGCTAGAAGCCTGCTAACCATGGACTGAGTTCTTTGAAATCATAAGCCAAATAAATGTCTTCTCCTTGAAATTGCAGGTGGCCTGCATTTTGTCTAGATGGCCAATAAATCCCCCACATTACCACTACCAATGACCAGCCCCTAATAGGCTGAGCTCTTCAAGGGAAGGTTGTACATATAACTCTGACGAATGCAGAACCTCATCCAATGAATCCCAGTGCAGGTGCTGGGCAGAGATCAAATCAGCCAGGATTAGATTTTCTGGTAAAACACAGCTGGCTCAGGTGCAACTTGGGTACAGCAAAGGTGATGGCAGCAGTCCTTGGATGTGGAGAGCATGTTTTGATGGCTACAAGGAAGGAGAACCCAACTACAGAGCTGAGTCTGCAGCAGGAAGTAGTGTCCTGTGAGGGACAATGCCAACTCAAAGGAAGTACAATTTAAAGCACCTTAAGGCATTGAAAGGATATTCATTTGCCCACATGTATTTAGAGGGGCTTCCCCAGGACACAGCTCATGAAGGTAAGATGCTGGTGTAAGCTATACAGGGACCCCAGAGCATGGGGCTCTTATCAGTGTCTTTCTTAGATGCAGCTCTTGATCTCTACTCTGCTCACTGTGGTTCCATTCAAACCAGATTGGACTCCAAGGTCACAGCAGGAGCAGGAGCCCCACCTTAGACCAACAGGTTCATATCTTCCCATCTTCCCATGGCTTTCCAGGCAAGATACCAGCTGGAACTCCAAGATGAGTGCTGATGAAGCAGGCGAGCAGGCCTCTGCACGCTGGCCTCAGATGCCTCTCCTTTCTGTGGTCACACAATCATGGAGACACAGTGTGGTTGCTGCCTTGGCATCCTTTTTCCAGCACCCAGTCCTGCCCTCAGAGAAGCAGCAAAGTGAGGTAGAAAGATCTGGGTTCCCATTCCCCAGCTCTAACTTTGAGCTGTGTGACCTTGAGCAAGATCCCAAAGTTTAAGCTTCATCTTTTCCATCTGGAAAGAAAATAACACCTCCTCTCCTAAGTTTTGTGTGAGGATAAAGGGAAACACTAGAACAGATGTGACCTTAGTTTCTGGGACAAGCTCATGGAGTGAGTTTGCTGGTCTCTGGGAGGCTTCACTTCGCTGTTGAGAGCCCAACCTATGACCTGATGAGGAAGGATGGGAGGAGGCAGGTAACATTGACTGAGTTTACAGGACAGACCCTATGCTACACAAGGTTCCAAGGATCTGCTATTGCTCTTTTGACCTGGTTTGTAGCAGGGTAGCTATGATTCTGCTTTCAACCTTTAGTAAGATGAGGAAAATGATGAGTAGTTAGGCAAGAAATTGTGCAGAAGCAGAGGAAGACTATGGCACATGACTTGGTCCTGTGCCTGGACTCCACACGAATGGGTGGGGCTGAGGGACAGCAAAGTGCACTCTGGAACCTTCTGTGATTAAGCACTCTTGATTCCATATTTGTAAAGAAAATTATCTAATGAGCTGCAAGATTGTAATCTAGCCCCAAAATAGTATTATCATAAGTATTACAAATTAAATTAGGCCACCTTTGGTAAATCAAACAAATAATAAGAGTGATTGAAATTCTAATACACCGATGGATTCCAGCCCACTTTGTTGTTCAAGATGTTCTTTGTGATTACTGTATTTGCTCAGCTCTGTGTGGGCAGGAAATGGGAAACCTTTCTGCTCATCTGTCAGTCTAACTGCTTGAATGAAATGTCCCTGGGAGTGAAGTGAATCTACACGGATAACACGGCACGCTGTTGTGCAACTTAGAGGAGTTACTCTATGGTTGTATGTTTCAAAGTGACTCCAGGCTTTGGCTTTTATAGTGAAATTGCATAATTCTCTATTTTTCTCTTGCAGATAGAGATGGGTTTTCACTTTTGACATTTCTATCTACAGCTTGGGATGGGAATATTTTCTCTGGGGACTGGCTAGAGTGAATAAGATACTTTTCTTTATCATCATTAAAATGTTGAAGCCCTACTTCAACTAATTTATTATAGAAGAAACTGGTCCTCCCTCTTTCAATTACTGAGAGATCACCCTCTCGCTTCTTAGTCTTTCAATCTAGGGACTATTAGAAATAATCAATATTTTATTTTCAAATAGAAGCACTTAGACAATTTCATTTTCACCAGCGCACAATGGGATGCAGTTGAAAAAATGGTTTTGAACACTGCAGATGGTTATTAGGGTGATGGGTGGATACTGTGCTCCATGCTCTTGACTCTGCTTCCCCTTTTTCAGCACACAGGAAGGACATCTCTCCCAGGACCCCTTGCAATAAGGCTGGGACCACACAAAGGTGTTCCTCCAATGGGACATGCATAGCAGTGACACAAGCCATTTCCCAGCCTGATCCTCTACCGTGGCCACTTAAGGGGCCACATGCTTCAGGTTCTGTATTACATGAGGAAGACCTAAGTGAGAACTTTTATTGAAGAATAATTACTCTGAACACAATTATGTAACAGCACTTCAGACTCACAGAGATTCTCCATGACATGTGGGGCTGAGACGTATACCTCTCTGTGGCTAGGCTCATAGCTACATTATCTCACCTGCTCAATTCTGACAGCAGTGTTTGGTCAAGAAAGCAGTCACCTCTTCTTTGCTTCTCTACACCTTCATCACGATCTTGTTTCTCTAGCAGATCACTGCCAGTAACAAACTAAAACTTTTATTTCACATCAAGAGGTAGGTGCTGTTGGGTTAGTACAGTCCCCTGCTTTAATCCTTACGACATCCAAAGAGATAAATATTATTCCCATTTTATGACTCAGGACATTGAGGGCTGGGAAGATAGCTTGGTAGCCTGGCAAGCACAAGGACCTGGATTGGATTCCTGGTATCACATGTTGTACCAGCCTTGGAACCCCGGGGCGCACTGTGCCAGCCCCCAAACCGGGCGTGGTGGTGCATGCCTGTAATCCCACTGTTAGGGAGACTGAACAGGAGGATCACTACAAGTCTGAGCTGCACAGCAAAACCCTGTATCAAACAAATTAGGATATTGAGATTCAAAGAAGTTAAATAACTTGATTGAGGTGATCTAACTTTGTAAAAATATAAATTAGAATTTAAACACAGAAATTTCCGATTTCAGGCTCCTTTTGCTTGAAGTGCCCACACGTTGTCTTTTGCTTAAAGCAGAAAAACTCACAATACGATATGATGAAGGGTCTCCTTTATGCACCTTCAAATCAGGAAAGCCTTGGGGAGAAATTGAAAAAACGTTGAGCAAGACATGATCTTTCCTTGATGGAGATCACATGCAGCCTTAGATTTTTTTAATTGATAAACTTTATATTTCAGAGTAGCTATAAGTTTGCAGAAGCATCCAGTGGAAAGTGACAGTTTCCACATAGCCTATCTTGCCCATTCTGTTTTTAACATCTGTTAATACTATACATTGGCATGGTGCATTTGTTACAATTGATAATGCAACACTGGTATATTTTTCCTTTTACATAAACTTGTTTCTTTACAATGATCTAAAAATAATCCTTAGTTTCCATGTCACTTTTTCCCTCATTTTTCTTCATTTGAAAATTTCCTCATAGTAATTGCTTTCCTGGCTTTCCCCCCGTTTTTCTCTTTTCTCAGATATTGCTTATGATTTTATAAATGACAAAGAGACATAAAAATATAATGGCCAAAGGACAGGGTGGCAGGGACAAAAGGGCAAAAATAATAAATATCAAAGACAAAATATGGAATACAAAATTTCTTCAAGATAATTTATGCGTAAATGCAGAAATAGTTATAACCAAGAAGACTGCGAGAGTGGGAGTGTGTGCACACGCACGCGCGCGCGCACACACACACACACACACACACACACACACACTGCCTTGCCATGCTATATAGCCTTTCCAGCAACCCACCATAGCTTCTAGGAACCTAAGTTCTCCAAGCTCTCCCATCTCTGTCATGCTCTTGCCATGGAGTTTCATATAGCAGACAAACCTTCCACAATTCCTTAGGGTTTGAGTAGGGGAGACTGGGACTACAGAGCCTTGGTTGGCAGAAAAGGGAAAGTAGATTCAAGGAGAATCATAATCCCCACTTCTAAGTCACCTTTGATCCCATGGTGAATTCCCAGCCCACATCTCAGCCCTTGGCCCTTTATACATAAAAAGGGGATATAGGCCCCTTCTTCTGGCATTGGATAGAATGTGAAAAGAGACCATGTAAGAAGAAAGTGGCTCCCAAGGGTTGGAATCTGTGAGGAGCCTTTGTTCTTTCACTGCCAGAGGCTGGTTCTGTGCAGGGCTCCCACTTCTCAACTCCTGTCAGCCCCACTTAAGAGGTGATAAAGGTATGAGTCCACACTAGGACCCTTTCTGTAAGGTTACAAGAAATCCCTCTTTGAGCATTCACCTCTATT